ACTCTGTCTAAAATTTGTTGCCTTATCTCAGCTCTGAAACACATATTTCCACAGTGACACAGAGTATCACTTCCACACTGCACTGTAGGTGCTGCTGAATAATTTACCACCAAGTCATTTTGTTCTGAGAGATTTATATGAATTTGCACTTGTCAGAGTACAACACATGTCAAAACTTATGATTAAATTGCTTTAAATTTTGTTACCAATTACGAATGGAAGGTGAAGACCTCGCAAACTCTACGCATATTTAAATTTAGACTTGGCGACAGGGTAAGTCTTTAACAAAAGCCTCGTATGGGGGCAGAGATATCCGATCTGCTCCTGCTCATCAGAGGCTTTCAGCTCTAATTGGTTCCTACAATTAGAGCTCCAGACTGTCATGGACCTGTAATTGCAGGCTTCCCAGCCCAGGACAGCCCCGTGGATGATTTTCACTGAGTCTTCTGTAAAACTGGATGACCTTTACTTCACTATGCATATTTTAAACTGAAGCATTTTAATGTGATTTTCTTTTCCTTCTTTTTTTTAACCCAGTTGAGCATCACCACCACAATAACATCCCCTTGTATTCCAGCGCAGTTCAAACACTAGCACCTAGACCTCTGACAAATGAATGAAATTCACCTGACTGCTGAAGTAAAACACACCTGGTTCCTGGTCTCCTGGTCCAGCTCTACGCACATGTCCAGTGGGACGCCCTGCACCAGTTCCATGGCGAGCACCCTCCGGCCTGACAGCTCATCAATCACCTCGGGGACTTGGAAAAACTCATCTCCCTCCAGCAGTGATCTAAAGGCCGAGGTACGAGAGAGAGCAAGAAAAAAAAAAAAAAACGAAACAAAAAAAACTTAATGATTTATTTGCAAAATTGAAAATATGCAAAACCGAAAATATGCAAAACCAAAATATGCAAAACCAATGGCAAATCACACGCAAAGACAGTTAAAATTAACTATACCTTAACTGCCTGCATTATAATTAAGTAAAGATTACCAAGAAATGCTACATGTGATGCTTGATTTACTAATTACACTTGGAATATATAATCTGGCTCCTCTACTGGTATACTGTACATTATAAAAAAACACAATACATCAGCTAGATGTGTACCCAGACAGCTTAGGTTGAATGTATATGTTCTGTGGCAGCTACCAGGACATAAGTATTAAGAATCCACCCTGTAACTTCAGTGTAGCTCAAACAATACACAGCAGCACAACACCGGCCTGGGTTCAACAGAAACCTACCTGAACTTCTTGGCACACTGTGCTTCCCTCTTATAGTCACACTCCCATGCCAGTTCTCTCTGTAGAACCTCCAAGCTGTTGTCTGCAAACAGACCTGTGGAAAAATAAATGGTGCAAAGAAAACACACAGACCATGTCATCTTCTAACAGAGCAGGGTAGCTTCTGTCTAAAAATAATTCATATACTGCATGAGTATGTAGCAGGGAGAACACAGAAAAAAATCAACATCAGGTTGTAGGCATTGCATTAAAAGTGTATTTTGGTATACTGGTGAGCTATAGGTACAAGAAAAATCCGGGCATTATTCAAGCTAAGCCTTGGGTTACCATATTTTTTTATTTAGAGTGTTAATTGGGACAAAAATGAATTAATCCAAAAGGGAGCGAGTAATCCCACAGGGCAACAGTTTGTGTCAGAGTTAAAATGTGAGTATTTGCCACCAACAAGCTACAATTGTCTTTGTAAGTGTCTGACAACATTGAAAAGGATCCCCAAAGAGGCAGATGTGTGCCTAACATGCAATATGAGTGTCAGTGTGAAAGCTCAGGGGAGGCACGGAGCTACAGTGCAAACATGGGTAAGAAATGAAGAGAGATGTTTGGTGAAAGAGTGCAATGCGTACAGTTACCACAAAGAAAATAAACAACTGTAGCTGCACAAAGCAAACTACAGTCACAAAAAAGCTACTAGCTTTAGCAAGTGTTGCTGCCACTGGATGAAATGCGAAGAGCTTGCTCCGCGCAGCAAACAGCTCCCATTTACAGATTTTATTTTTATTAGCCGTGTAATTCCCTTCCTGACTTCTCGGTGTGAGGATCAATTTGTTTTTACATCTGACATTTTCTGATCTAGCAACCATTCTATTGAACTCTAGGATGTGCATGGCTTTACAGATTATTTCTGCAGATTGCTGAAAAAAATAAAAACACTGAGCCATAAAACTCATCCTGTTTGCTGCAAAGGTTTTTGAGTGGGATATCTACTAACTGAAGAAGAAGTCTTAAGAAAAAAAAAAGCAGGGAGCAAAAAAAGACCTGCCACAGATGGAGCTGTGCTCATGTTAAGTTATTCATTTCATCTGGCATTAAAGCGTGACGAGAGCGCAACTGACAAAAATAAGCACTTTTACTCTGACATGGACAGATGTCCCCAGGGATCTAATTATTTTCTCCCATCACATATTCTGTCATCTCTCCACTGTGAGTTAATAAAATAAAAGCCTAAAATCCAGCGTGGTCACTCAACTGGTTGCACCAATTATGCTCCGCAGCTACTACAAGCCATTATGCACCTATAATAACCGTGTCAGCAATCACTTAAACAACAACTTTGAAAAGGTTTGTGGAAAGCCCTCAAACAGGTAAGTTGAAAACCACATAAACTACATAAATAAACTAATTACTTATTATTTTAGGCAATTAATAAATAAAATGCAAATTCTTTATTAATAATGAAAGAATTATTGCTGTCTGAAACAAGCCTCTGTTGGATAAAAAGCTAGTTTGACCTGCATCTATAGCACCACCTTGTGGTCTTAAATAGTGGAGACACTGGTTATAATTTACACATGGGTGAAAGTCATAGCATAAAAACTTGCAATGTACAGTTGTTTTAAGATTACAAATAAATAAATAACTAAATAAATGAATAAAAATCAGAATTTCTTATTGACTAAATACATCTTGCTGATTTTGAATCTGCTCTGAGGAAAGTCAGACACAAAAAAGGACACTACAGAGTCCTGTAGTTGTTACCTTCTGGCAGAACCACGCTCATTTTCAGTACTGCCATCAGGTTGTCTATGTCGCTGCGGATGCTCTCTGCCACACCAGGGTACTGAGAAGAATAAGTGACAAACAGACAGTCGAGTCCAATGCAGAGAGTGAAACACAGACTGCGCAAGTGTGTCGATAAGCTCCTACCTGGATCTTCATGGCGATTTCTCTACCATCTTTTAAAACCCCGTGGTGGACTTGGCCAATAGAAGCTGCAGCGAATGGTTTGTCCTCAAAGGATGAGAGCTTTTCTCGCCAGCCTGGCCCCAGATCCTCCTCCAGAACTTTCTATACAGTCAGAAACACAGATTGCAGCACTGTCATACATCACACTGGGTAATGCTAAAGATCCCGAGCTATAGCACATGTAAGAAAAAGGCTTAAATAAGGTGTTTGGCAACCACGTGCTGCTACAACAGCACTGATCCGACATGAAGGACAGCGCACAATTCTTCCCAATAACACTCATCAAAACACCAAAAAGTGTAGTGAATAATGTTCTTACTGTAGAGATATTTGTACATAGGTCTTCCTGAAAAGCTCAACTTTTTATTACAACAATATAGGCATTTACAAAATATCCAAATGGCCTTTTATGATAAGAAAATAAAAGGCCAAACTGGTGCTGTAGTGTCTACACATTAATCTTTTTGCATAGTAGGTGAAAACTATATGAAATCATCAGAAAATAAAAGCAATGAATACATAGCTGAAGTAGTTGTAAATCCAGTTCCATAACAAGATGCTGCATCCAAATAATTGTCCATCTTTCTGTATTAGACCTGTAATAGACTGGTAGACTAGGATAGGCTCCAGCCTCCTACAACCCTGAATTGCATAAGTGGTTAAGGAAACGGATGGATGGGTATTGTTTGAAATCCATTTATGAGTGCCTATGGAGAGTTAAAGAAGTAGATGCTGTAGATGGTAAACCAGCCACAATGCAGGAGTGGTTATAGGCTCAAAAACAATCATGTTTTTAAGAGACCTGAGCAACTGAGATGCACAAGATATTTAACAGGCAACAGTGTCACCCGCTATGCATGACAGGATACATGTCAGGATGAGGTTCAGACTTGTGGCGCATTCAAAGTGACGTATAAATAGAACTACTTGTCGTCCAGTAAGAATCCTGTTATGGAAAGGCAAACAGGATGCTCATTCAGACATAAAGCCACTTTGTTTACTGTCAGAAATTACTGGAAAGGAATGTGCTACAGTGGCTTGAATCACAATTATGTAATAATCTCCAGTTTGTTCATGTAAATGGGCAGCTATCGTCACACACTGTGGTTAATTATGGAGTTCCACAGGGTTCTGTGCCAAGACCGATTTTATTCACATTGTACATGGTTCCTTTAGGCAGTATCATTAGAAGGCACAGCATACATTTCATTGCTAGGCAGATAGATGATACCCAGCTCTATCTATCCATGAAGCCAGATTACACACAACAATTAGTTAAACTGCAGAAATGTCTTAAAGGCGTAAAGACCTGGATGACCTCCAGTTTCTGTTAGGATCGTTGGTTTTTAGAATCTTGGTTTTGTGTTTGTAATTTCTTTAGACTATATTATTCTTTGTTTTTTTAGATTCCCTTATGTTTTATTTGGCTCTCTTGTATTTTGTTGTGAGTTTTCTTTAGCATTTATTATAACCTTTGCAGTGTCTGCTTATATTCTGGCTCTTCTTATTGGTTTTGGAACATTTCATTATTATCTTTTTGTGATCCCTTCGTTTCCCCAGTTAGCCCCCCCCCCATATTTGTCCGCTCTGCATGTGTTAGTCAGTTTCTGTACAAGATGATTCCTGCCTTACTGTGATAGTCTCTTGTCTCGTGTGCGTTATGTTCAGTCTAACTTCCCTTGTCTTGTTATTCATGATTTTCTGCCCGGAAGTGTCTCCAGTTCCCCTAATCAACGTCCTGCTTATAGACCGTATCTGTCTCCCTCTGTCCTTCATCAGTGTACTGTTCATTTCCCTGGTGCAGTCCGTTTCCTGGTCTTCGTTCCCTAGCATCTCAGCTCCTTAGTGAGTTTCATTTGGCTTAGTTTTGTGTTTTGCCTCATGAGATTTTTATCAGCTCAATAAAGGGCTCGCCTTTTTAAAAACTGCCACCTGCCTGTGTTGCACCTTGGGT